TATATTTTTTCAAATAGCTGAAAATATAAACAAATACAACATGAAAAGTATATAAAATGTAAGGTTCTGGTTTTGAAAGCACAATTTATATACATACACTTACATACTTCCTACCTTCATGCTAATAGCCACGTTAAATAGGTATGATATGGGTTGTGTGACCAATAAACCTAAAATATTCTATAACTTGTTCTCCATAGAAAATGTGTATACAACTCCTGCCATGGAAAGGAAGGGCCAAAGGCTTTGGGATAAGCTGGATTTGAATTTTAATCCTATCTATGATTTTACTCGTTATATCATCTAAATGCATAGCATCTCTGAATTTTAAAATAATCTTTTTAACATGTATAAAATAAATACTACATGGAAGAGAATACATTTCAACAAGTGTGTCTTTCCTTGTTCACATGGTGGTAGGGATACTCATTTGAGATCTAATCAATTAAACACATGTTACATTTTCTTAGAGACTCAAGTTCAGTGTTTAGCTAGTTGATACCAAACAAAATAAAGAAAAAAATTATGGTGAACAGGCCTTAGGTTTGTGCAGAAAGGATTTCCAGGCAGTGGTCCATAATTTATAACTGATGTGGATGACTGAGGTATTTAAAATACTATGAACATGTGGTGGTTTCTGTTAGGACTGCTAACCAGTCTAGCCTAAGTGAGATCATTTCAAACTGGAGACAGTTTAGAACCATGGAAACAAACATGAGCATATGATTTTGTATATGGTTACTAGGTCCCCAAGAATGGAACAAGTGGTTATTAAGTGCCTGCACCTGAAATGGTTTTGTTTCCTACATTATTTATATTCAAAGCACTTTCTCGAGGAAACCATGCCTTCTTTGGATCACCTGCTAATGCGCACAAGTTTACAAAAAGCAACCTTCTCACTGGTCTTTCAAAGCGTTAGAAGAAATGCAACAAAGCAAGGGAGGCCATCCTTCCTTTCATCTTCACTCATGTTTCTGCCTTCTTCCTATTGTTTCTTTGCTCTACGTATTTCCAGTTCTCAATTCTGGGTTTAGCTGACAGAATAAGCAACAGAGTTTAGGTGGGGAACAAACTCTAAGAGATTATTGTCAAGACATGTGCATATGAGCCTCCTGATTCCCATTTTATTCTTCAGAGGTATAAAAAAAGGAAAGAGAATCTTGGGTGCATTCTTCGTCTGTGAAATAGAAAAACATCTCTCCTGTCACACACAGAGATTTGTAAGGACAGTAGCAAAAAGCGTAGGAATATGCATTTTGTAAATCACAGATGCTTTTTTAATAGTAAATAATAAAAGACTAATATATATATATATACACACACATATGTATATATATATATATACATATATATTCTGTAAGAAAATTTTTCTGTTCTTGCTCTATTGGTTGAAGAATAAAGAAAAGCAAGAGAATCTTACCTCAGCAAAATTGGCTAAAATGACAGAACTTTTATTTTGGCAAGGAGCATGTGAGTGAATGAAAGATTTTAGAAATAAGTTTTCAAAACTAATGTTTTCCAGTACTGTTGTTTTTCACTTATGCAATAAATTTGTCTCTGATTCACTGCATACAAATCATATCTGTGTATCAAATCAAGATTAAATTATACTAAAATGAACAGTAAAGGGTCAGAAATTCTGCCGTGCTTGGAAAATGTTTTGTTTAACGTAGCTTATTTTCAAAGACTCTTCCTAATTTATTTGTTACAATATTGGTTCGTGAAATCAAATTTTACTAGCACACTTCACACACTAATGTAACCTTTCATTAGATTTTGCTCTAATACAGAGACTCTTCTAGATTACTTGTTGAGCAGAAAAAGATTACAAACCCAAAATACAAGAGATAGCTAACTGATGGGCATTGATAGTGTTTCAGGCTGATACTTCTGCTTCTGGATATAATTGAGGAGCTTACAGTCAAACAAGAACTTTGCTCAAGCATGAATATTTTAAAAATACAAATTAAATAAGATGATGATGATGTTTGAGAACAAGGACATCTCTCAAGACTCAAGAGTTCAATATCTCAAGAGGAAAGAAGTCACATTAAAAGGAATCTGATATTCTGTGTCTCAGAAATAATTTTAGTATCCAAAGCAGTGCAGAATGTAAGTGTAAGTGAAGCAAAGACTGGCCAGAAAGAAGCTCAAACCCTGGAAGGGTCGTTGGCAGGAGTATACTGCTGAGGACATGGAAGCTGGAGACTTTCAAAGTAGAGGGCCCAGTTCAAGCTTCGCATGGGGAATTTCTTAGAACAAAGAAAAAACTGGAAAAAATGGATTGGGGCTCACATAAATAAGCACAGAGGCTCTAGTCTTTTAATTTGCTTATTTAAATGAGGTAATATTTCCCAAATATTTATACATGTCCCAATAAAGTTATCTTGAAAAGAAGTCAGTGTTAGTCAATATCTCTACAAGGTGTTCAGTGTCTAATGTTCAGTTAAATCTTCATTTATTATGATAGAAGAGGGAAGACAGTGAGTGAAAAGAGAAAAGATCAACATAAGACAGTTCAGGTCACTAAAAGACTGCTGTTATCCAGTACACATTAAAGTGATTCTGATTATTGTGTTTTAAAATATACTATAAGGTGTACTTCAAAGAAATAGGAATATACAGGGATTAAATAAGTATTACTGGAGATAAAAGACACAATTTTTAGTTAAGAATTTGTAAGACGATGTAGGAATTTGAAAAATATATCCTGCCAATTTCCAATGTGCATAGTTCACATATCTACAAGTAATGGCCATAAAATTAGTTTAACTAAAACTACTGACTCACAAGCATGACTCAAATCAAGTTGATACAATATATTAATAACAACTGAATAAACATTTCACTGCCAGTTTTGCAACAACAACAAAACATCTCTACACAAGTAATGGGTTTGAATTCTGACCAGTAAACTAATCCCATCATTGCTAAAGTCATGATTTTAATGTGACTTAATAATGTCAACCTCCTAGTGACTAGAACTGTTTTATAGTGATGATCTTTTCTCTTTTCACTCACTGACTGAATGAAGCTTTGGTTTGGGTTACACAGACAGCAACATACATGTTGTGATTTTAACTTATTCCCCAGTGATAAATACATGTGAAGATCTGCCAAAATGGACAACCAGAAGAAGAAAGTAAACAAGATTAAAATGCATCAAGGAAAAATGACAATGCTGGAAGCGAAATCCGACCAATGATCAATGGTTCTGTGGAAGAAATAACCAGCTCCAAGAGTGGTGGTGATTCAAGAGTCCAGACATGGAGGTAGAGGACCTCAGTGAAAGTGAAGTTGTCACCAGAAGTAGGGAATGTAGTTTTGAAGAAAACTTCCTAGAGGAACCAATATAAACAAAAACAATCATGCTAAAGGAACTCGCAGGGAGCCGGAGTGGTGTTTAATGACACCAAATGAATGAAGAATAATTGTCAGGAGTTGGTCTATGGTTATCAGTATAAGCAAGACATAAAAGTTCACCAAGTCATTAAAAATGCTAGCTCTGTCATATTAGTCACATAAGAAAAAGGCAAGCAAAGGTAAAAACTCCCTTGGATTCTTCAAGGCTTTTGCAATGTTGATTCTCTACATTGACAATGTTTAAAGTAATAGTGAACTAAAGAGTCAAAGGCAACCCTATAGCTTTTACTTTCTCACATATGCTCAATTAACATGTAAGAGCATTTGAAGTGACAAGAAATGTTCTAGGGGTCAGGAAACAACTATAATCAATTATAATTATATAATAATAGTAGCTATATGATAATAATTGGTTATTGCTCACTTTGTATAGTTATTCTGTAATCTCACAATACCATATGAAGTGAGGCCTGCCTCTGTGTGTAGGTTGTGGGGAGGGCAAATGTCAGTTATCAAAATATCATTTTAAGTTACCAGAAAAAGAAGCACAAGTTAAAAGCATAATTGTAGGTCAATGGTTGAACACTTGTTTAGAATATTCACAGCCCTGAAAATGAACAACAAAAATGAAGAAAATAATGAAAAATTAAAGTGTACATTTCTTTGGTTTGCTTTTTTTAAAAGATAGTGAAAAGTTAGGGAAAATGATAAACCCTAGCAAGACTGAACAAAACTAATATCTGACTATAAAATTCATATAAAATTTAAATGATAATAAGGTAGCTAAGATATTCTGAAAAAAATTGAGAATCTTTAAGGCTTAAACTATGGGATTGATTAAAATGTTTAGTTCTGAAAAGTGTGCTAATATTACAAATTATACGAACTAGCAGAGCAAAATGCAGAATTAATAAATAAAATATGGAATCAATACACAAGCTAATACATGTATCCTGTTGCTGGTTCCTGACAAAGGTGGCATGCAGCATGGTGGGTCTAAGTTTGATTAAATTGCTTATAGATCTATTGAACATCCATAGGGTAGAGGCTGTGAATCTCTACCTCATACAACGCATGTGAAACCTTGGTATCTCTTACCAGCACTGTCTAATTTGGATGTGGTAGTGCATACCTGTCATTCTAACATTCAGGAGGCAGAGTAGTGGAATCAGGAGCTCAAGGTCACATCCTCAGTGGCATAGAGTTTGAAGACACCTGGGCTGAATGAGATCCTATCTCAAGTAACAAAAACAGTAAAAAAAAATGTGCAAAAGAAATCTGTGTCAATAGAAGTAAAATTACTAGATACATTTGTGATGTAACACACAAGGAGTGAAAGAGAGCCTTGTGACAGTGATATTCAATGCCCTATTTCTTGATTTCCATTGTAATTAGGGCATTTGAGTTATCCATTTCTAATTTTGCGTGTTTTGGTGTATGTTACTTTCCTAGAGTGATAACTCATATGGAAAGTCCAAACTTCAAAGAAAGATGAAAATAAATTTAAAATGTGAATACTTTGAGATAACAGACGAAAACTCCCTAATAAATCAGACAAATGTCTAATTTTACCCACACACATGCATACATGTGTATCCCTATTTACAGGCTTTACAAATAGACATTGCCTCACTTACTTCGAGCCAAATCTCATTGTCCTTCTGCAGGCTATCTTCAGACTTCTCACTGCCTTCCTCCTGGGCTGTCTTCAAACTGAAGACACAGGGAAACCATCCAAGAGAGAGACGATTTGGGAATGAATCTGGATGATGTGAAGTACAAATCTGAAAAGCAATTTCAGTCTTAAATTAAGTATGAAGTGCGGGAGGTAAATAATGTCAGGAGGTCTCTAGCACAAATCCAACTTTTCTCTCTTATGCATAAGGACCACACTGCTAGTTGCAGAATGCAGAAGTTAGAACTCAGAAAAGCCCCAATTCAGGTAGAAGAATTTCTCAATGCTGTACTCTCAAGATGTATCTTCCTAGGGTAGAAAACACATGTGACAACTCTCTGTCCATCATTAGCATGGGTTCTTGCCCAAAGAATCATTCTGGCACATTTCAGAGGACTGATACAAGGATTCCATTTGCAAGTCTTTCCAGAGTAATGGTTAGGTCCTTATTGATCAGCATCAACTGTCCTGAGAGTGAGGCTACTGAGTCGAGCAGAGAGGGGGTCCTTAGCTGGGTTGAAACCCCAAGAAGCAGAACTTAAGGAAATGTCTCCTACTTCACTTAGAAAAGACATTCAGGCCACACTAAAAGCCACTTCAGAGAGCTGTCATGAACTTAGAATTACCAACTTTCCTGGCTTTTTGTCACTGGACACTAGAACTCAAAGGAGAAGGATGCCAAGACTTGGCAAAGAAGAGTGTAGCAGAAGAGGACAGTTGCCTCATTGTATCTTCTTGCCCATCACCTTTTCATTAATGAACATCAACTTTCCTCAAACTTATCCAGTTATGTAAATGTTCCTTTCCTCAATGTTTCCCAAAATAGGGGTGATTAAGTAGACATAAGATATGGGTAAAAATCTACAGTGTTAAGCTTCCAAAAAATTTGCCATTTTCCCAATAAACATGAGCAAACACTCAGCTGGTATACACAAACTTCCCTTTGACCTGCTTTCTTCTTCCTCTGCATAACTCAGTGACAAAGAATTTGCTGACTCTGCAGGACCCTGAGATCAAACCCCAGTGAAACACACACACACACACACACACACACACACACACACACACAATGCTGACTTCATGCTTACAGGAGAAGCAGCCATGTTAGTAGCAAGAAAAAGAAAACAAAAAACTAAAAATGGAAGTGCTGGAATCTAGACACTTGCATCCTTGATCAGACTCCTGAGACAGACACCTTGAGTAGCTTCCTCTATCCACTCAGAAATGCATGGACAGAGCACGAGTTTCAAATGCAGTTATTTCACCCTGACCTACAATACCCAAAGGACTAGATTTTACTTTTATAGACATCTTGCCCACTGTTACAACAGAGAGAAGAATCTATTTGAAAGTGAAAGATCTGGAATGGTACCCAAAGAGCCAGGTGCCCTTCATGTTGTCTTTAGTATTCAACCTCAGTTGAACAATGTCATTAGTATAGCCTCTTAGAGTCTTCCTAAGATCTCCCACTATGTAAGCAGAAGGTCAGGGAAAGGATTCATCTGATTTACTAACTATTAACTCCTGCATTTCTTGAATATTCATTTAAATTAAATCATACTTTTACATTTTATATATATATTTAAAATCTCAATTGACTCTACACTGGCCTGTTAGATGCAAAAGATAGGAACAAATGAAGGTCCAAAGTGGTTAAGAGACTAGTCCATAGTCATAGTCATGGATTGACAGTAATACTAGTGGGTCCAGCTGTCTAATTCAAACTTTCTGATTTCTTATTGCTGCTTTTTATCATTTTTTACTAAATCCTCCAACACACAGAGCCCAAATGTAGTTTATAACAGCTGCAAGCCTATGTTAAACTTTGAGATACTTGCATATCCCTTGAATTACTGGATAAAAATTGTTGATGTCAAGTAGTGTGCATGTGAGTTATGGATTTTATGATTTATCTAGAAGGTTTTCAATTGATATTTTGTTGTTCTGATCTTGGCCAGCCATGACTCCATCCATGACTTAACTTACCATTGAATGAGGTTCTCCTGTTACCACGGAAACAGGACACTTCTTCTTGTCTTCATGGTAGGAATAAGCTTGAGTAGCCCACTGGTCCAAGTGTCCTTCAGGAGTATGGAGGCCACAGTCGATGATGCTAGTTTCCTTCTCAAAAGGTTCACAAATTCCATCTCCCTCATGCCTGTAGCAAAGGCTTGGCTCCCCTGCCAAGAAATGTGTAACATTTAAGGGATTTTTTTCATATAAATTAGGATAAATGTAGCATGGCAATGTTCCAAGCAATACTTCTCTAGCCTACTAAAGACAATCCTGTGATGACCAGGGAACATAGTCCCACCACAGCATCAACCACCACACCCTTGGAGAAGATTTACTCTTTATGATGGAAGAAGCAAAATCTAATAAAGCCATATGAAAGATTGTACTTGGGAGACAAGGATAAAGAGGGAAATGCACTATAAAGTGGTTGTAGTAAGAAAATTGATTCTGTCTTACTGGTATTGTTTCATTTTAATGAGACAGAGTCTTGGGTAGCCCAGGCTGGCACTGAACTCCTGATCCATTTGCCTCTTGAGTGTTAGAATAACAGGCATATGTGACCTTGCCCAGCCTAGGTACTTTAGGTAAAGTTAAATGAGACATGGACTATGTTAGAAATATGAGGAAGATAGAAAACACAGAAATAAAATTTAAATAGTATTATATAGATATATTTGAATCTTCTTCATAGTTTTTTGAATGTTCAATTATTTAAGGGGTTTCTTCACCAAATTATGTTTTTTTATTCCTCTTACCACTGAGAAGTTTTTTCTCTGAGCACATAACTCCTCAGAGACTTGAGAAACTGTGTTGCAAAGACTCCAGGTCTTGCAGGCATCAGCTTAGGACAACCATGAGATTTGTAGTTTTATTCTTCTTATTATTATTGCTTATTTTATAAATGATAAATACAAGTCTAAACGAGTTTGCAAGACTTGATAAGTGACCTAACAATCTATGTGGCTTGGTTTAAGTGAGACTTACAAAATATAGGCTCTTGCCTCCCTCAGCATTATGCCTTTTACCACCTCATACTGAAAAGGAGTGACAAGCAAGATCAGAATATCTGGGGGAAACTGTTGGAGGTGAAAAGCTTGAGTGCCCTGGGAAAGTTCCATCCCTCCTCACAGTGAAGTTCCTATTGGTGGACAGTATTACTCCTTTGTAGACTGGCTTTTTTCAGTGTGGAAAACTGAGATGCACTTATAAAACCATCTATAAAGTTCTACCAAAATGTAGAACAATTAATGTTAATAGCACAACCCAATTTCCCATTTCTGCTTCAAGTAAACAGGACACTGAAATAGAATTAAGATTCAAAACAAAGCTGCACTATTTAACACAGACTCAGTAAAACCATTGCTAAGATTTATTATTGTTATAACATGCTTTTTCATTTTTTTCTTCTTCACAGAAATTCCTCAGGGATGTATTGGTAGTTTGTCAGCTGCTTTTCAACATACAGTTATTATTTTCCTTAATAATTGCCTCATATGTAAGACTCTCCAGTGGTAAATCTACTTCTGCATGCCAGTGTAAACCACCCTCTACAGGACATGGTTCTAAACCCATTTAAGGCATTCATCTGTAGTCTATCAAATTTATAGCACCCTCACCCTCTCATCCAGCACATGTACATTTGAAACAACATTCCCAGCAGAACAAGCTGTCTGTCTCTGCCTACCTTTTTTATTATTTATGACAATTATATACCTAGATAATGGATTTTCTATCCATAACTCAGGGACTACACTTTCTTATTTCTTGTTTTCTTTTAACCACAGTATAAAAATTATGTTTTTTGCAATTCCATAAGAAAATAATAGACCACTTTAAAATCACGTTTCCAATGGTTCATTCCAATCTAATTTTTTGAAAAGCAATGGAGCAAAATTATATGTCTAGCATATGATAAATGTATTCACTGAAAAGGATGTCTAATAGTAGAATATACCACATCAATTTAACCCAGTCAATAACTTAAACATAAGCTTAAATATAGCATTTAAGTATAGTTAAAATAATTGAGATATAGTCTTACTGGAGTTAGAGGTTGAGAAAAACACGAGTCAAAGGATCAAATGAGATAGAAACAGCATGAATTCTGTTCTTGAGTTAAATGAAACTGGAGATGGCACAGTGTTCAGAGAATGTGTGTTTGTTTTCAGTATGTGACCACTATGTGGCTACCAAGAAGAAGTGATACAAACAGAGGTGACATTAACAAATACTTGTGCACAAAAGAGGGGGTGATTTGTTCAGTACACTCCACATAGCCAGACCACATCTGGGGGATTGGATTCCTTTCTGGGCATTGACCAGATAAAGTGTGCCAGGTTGGGGTAAATAGGAAAGGTCTGGAAACCTAATCACATGAGGGGATGTTTGGATTGGAAAGGAGACTAGTGAAGAGGCATTTCAAATATCTGAATGGTAGTCAAATAAAACAGGGAAAAATGTATCCCCTGAAGCTTCGGAGTAAGAAAACCTCACTTGATTGAATATAAGGAAAGTTAAGTTTCAGGACTGGCCTGGCAGGGGCCTTGTATGTCTCTAGATGAGTCACTGAGATAGTCTGAGACTGGGTTTACAAACTGAAAACTTGAAGAAAGAAAAAAAATTAACAGATAAGGCCAGTGTTAAGTAGAATTGTCTGCTTCAAGAACAGTTTTCATTGCTGGAATTATGTCAGCAGAAGCTACATGCCCACATGTCAGGATTGGGCAGAAGTGACCTCTCTAAAAGCAAAGCTGGCTTCTAATCCACTCCTGATCTGTACATCTGGAAGGGAAAGGTCTCTATTAGATGTTGGTACATCACAGGCACTAAATATAAAAGTGACACTACTTAATACATGGTACACAGTGGACTATCATTTGGATGGGTAGGTAACTAGACAGATAGGTGACAATAAGAATCCATGACTCAGCTTTGGCTCAGGAGAGAAGAAACAGCTGTAAGTTTTATGTAGTTGTTGACACCATTAATAAGTTTATGCACTGTAATTTGCTACATCGTCTTAAGAGTAAGGACCCTGAAGTGGTTTAAATGCACTGATATTTAAAACAACTTTGATGTGGGGGTTCTACTCTAGACAATCACCATAACGTATGGGAAGGGAAGTAGTTTTCCTCTGAGGAACCTGTTCATGGATGTGTTCATCACAACTAGGGAAGTGTTGTGTGCTGCCTATCAATGTCAAAGGTTTAGATATGAAGTCATCTAGTTATAACTGGTCACCACTCACTCCCCAAGACAGAAATCCCCAGTACCATCTGCTGGCCTCTATGACCCCACCTGTTAAACATGGACATTGAGTGATATCTTGCTTCTCCTCTGGCTTTAAATATTTCCTGACCCAAATTTGTGTGTAGAATCTACAATATTGTTTTGTTTATCTGCAATGTTGGCATTTGTGTGAGGATTCAAGAGAATGTCCTGGTAATGTAAAGCTAGGGATCAGTACAAGTTTAGCATGAAATTCTAGATCTGCACTCTGTTGGCTCAAATTCTAACTAGCACTATGTGGTAACTAAGCAAAAAAGAAAAAAAAATCATTGAAGCCTTTTGTGCTTCCATTTGGCTTCTTCATGATTAAGGGAAAATTAATAATTATATATGTAGTATTTGGTATAATTGCTTTAATTACCAATAAACCACAGAACACTTGAAATTCAAAAAGCAATACATTGATACATCTCTGAAAGTAAGACACAACCCCTAGACTCACCCACACAATTGAAGCCTTCCTCCAATTGACACACTCTTGAGCACCCATCTCCATTCAACAGGTCTCCATCATCGCACATTTCTCCCATACTCCTAGAAATATACATTTAGACACACATAAAATGAGTTTTCTCATTTAGCTACCATTAATCCATTTCAACTTCTCATTATGCTCTAAAAATTAAAAGCTGCAGAAAACTAAAAAATAATTTATAGAAAATCTTAAAAACGAAATATCCAAAGTAGATGTGAGCTTAGCAAAATGGTAGATGATCATGGCCAGTGGGTTGTAGGAATTCCTAGAAATCAAATGTATTATGGCACAGGAACATCTCGGAGAACCTCATGGGAGGCTCAAACGTATGCCTGGCAGGATCTTCACCAACCCTGTGATAAATGGGGTCTTGTAAATAGCTGATTTGTAGCTTTCAATTTTGCTTAATTTATTTATTAGCTCTAGTAATTCATGAAAACAGCCATCATTGCATTATTCTAATAACCAACTATAGGAAAAAGAAATCAAGAAAATGATCCCATTTACAAAGCAAATTATAAAACATGGATGAAAGAAATTGAGTAAGACAATACACACACACACACACACATACACAAACAAAGGATTAATATGTAATCTTGAAATCCCACTCCTGGGTATATTCAAAAGAAATGGAATTAGTATGTCAAAGAGACATATGCACTACCATATTCATTGCAGCATTACTCGAAATAGTTAAGTGATGGCGACCACCTAAGTGTCAAGTAGCTGATGGATAGAGAAAAATATGTGACACATATCCTGTAGAATACTATCCAGCCTGAAAGAAAAATGAAACTTGGTCATCTGAGACAGCATGGATTGAGCTGGAGATCATTATGTTGAGTAAAAGTTAAGTAGGGACACAAGAGAAGTGTGTGATCTTGTTCATATTGGGATGAAGCTGATCTCAGACACATTGAAAGCAGAAAGGTGTCTAACAGATATTGAGGGCAGAGAAAAAAAAAAGAGTGAAGGGGAAAGAATTGTTGATATGTTCTGAGTTACAATTGCACAGGAGCAGGCGCTGGTGTGTTTTTGCTCAATGGATTGACCAAGACAAATATGTGTAGCAATTTAAGAAGCTGGAAAAGAGGATTTGAAAAATTTTTACTGAAAGAAAGTGATATATGAAGAGATGGTAGATTTAACCTGTTTAAATATCATACAGTGTATCAAAAAGCATCACATGGGATTGTATACATTTTAATGTTTTTACATAAAAGCATTTAATCCATTTAATTAAAAACCATTGACAATTTTAAACAGTCGTTGATTATCTTGAACACAGAGGCACACTATACTCTGAAGACACACAGACCATTCTAAGGTAGCCTTGGATACACAGAAAGATCCTCTCTCCCAAAACAACAAAGCTAACAAGAGTAGTTAATTGGTGAGAAGGCCTGCCCATCTGTGTCTTTTTATTTTCTATTTATTTTATCTAATTTTTATCATTTTTCATTTAGTATTTTCGTTTATCCAGGTGAAGTTATAAAAGTCAGAAATTTTCAGAACTGACTCTTCTGTTTATATATAATTAGGCAATTTTAAGAAGAACCTTCTTGTGGCTGTCTTGTTCAATGGCACAACCTGGGTTCAAGTCACTGTCCTTACGTCCTACTACCACCTAGGATATATTAAAGGGAAAGAGAAAATGTCATCTTTGAACCTTAGTTGATGACTAAAGGTAGGCTGAGGTAGGTAAGTTAGTCTACAATGATAATTCTTTCATAAAGCATGTTATGCTTAAAGAACAAAATAGAAAAAATACTTAAGTGGAGACTCCCATGAAAAAAAGTAAGATTTGGCTATTATAAAATGGTTATAGCCTACAATTTTTCTCCTATACTTTTCAATATGTCCATAGTTCCATATATAAAGAAATTTGGAATTCTAAAAAGTATTCAGACCCAAGATAACACAAATAGCTCCAGCCAATATTCAAAGATCACTATGGGAATGGATTAAGGATAAATTAGACATGAATATATATATTTAAAAAATAAAACTATGGTACAGGTACAAAACCATAGTAATCATATTTAAAGTTGTAAGATAGAACTGGAGGAAGGAATAAAAACATAGGAAAAACATAGTGAATAAATTATGAGGGGATGGTAGTGTGATTAAGTAATGGAACATTAGCCCAGTTTATGGAAAGACTGGGTTTAAACCCCTGAACTGAAAGACAAAAAGAGTTTTAAAATTTTTTACACTTCTTTTCTCTCAAAACTATCTTACATATGCATCTAATATATCTATGTCATATATTTTTGATTAATTTTTAAACTTTATTTATTACTAACTTATATGTAAGTTTTGTCAGGGTGTATGCGTATCTGACACCCATGAAGAGATTGTAAGATCTCCTGGAACTGAAGTTACACACAGCTGTGAGCCAGCTTATAGGTTCTGGGCTTGAACTCAGGACCTCTGGAAGAATATCTAGTGCTGAGCTATCTCTCTTGCCCCTTCACATTCTTTTCATACAAAGACAATAGATTCATCAGAGACTGCTCTACTGTGCATCCCAAAGGTATCCTAGTTTACTCATATAGGGAGAGAGGATTGGTCACCCATACGCAGTTCTCAACCATGGGTTACAATCTCTTGGGGGGGGGTGTCTAGCCACCCTTTCACAGAGCACCTAAGACCATAGGGAAACACAGATGTTTACATTAAAATTCATTAAAGTAGCAAAATTATAGTTACTAAGTAGCAACAAAAATAATTTTATGGTTGGGGTAACCACAACATGAGGAACTGTATTAAAAGGTTGCAGCATTAGGAAGGTAGAGAACCACTGGTCTACACTAATGTTTACCTGTCTGGGTTCTAGGACACGATCTTGGAAAGAGGCAACTTTACAATTTTATTTTGAAGAAAATTTAAACAGTTAACATAAGCATATCGCATATCATTTTGTGCAATGCTTCCCAATAGAAATCTAGTGAAAGTGATATATACAATTTTGAAATTTCTAGTAATCACTTAAAAAGTAAAAGAAATAGATAAAATAGCTATAATAACTGCATTTCATCCGATTGAGGGTACTTAAAACATTACCATTTAAATTTATAATCAATGTAAAATGATTGGTGTATCCCAATCACTTGAAGTCTACTGTATTTAAAATTCATTTTCACTTAAATCTCACTTCAAATGCTTGACCTATACTTTAGTTTTGTATTCATAGTTGAATCATCTGTGCAAGTTGTCCCAAACTTTCAAGCTATACTTAAAACTGAGTTTCAGTTTTAAAACTAAATTACCTTAAATTAAATAAAAATAAATATTGCACGTTAGTTGCCACATTTTGAAGTCTCAAGTGTCACACATATTAAATGGTTGGTAGATAGCACGTATTGAGAAAATCAACTTTGAAATGAGTACTGCTCAAATTTTCAGGGTCCTTCCTAGTGCTTAACTTGATAATATTCCATCTGGAACCAAATGGGTTAAACAATTTGCATGACTCCTTTCTGCCTTGTGTATTGGGATGCACCAAGCTGAACATAGCTGGGCTCCAGAAATGTCTTCCCTTGGACAACAGTACTGATTAGACAACCAAGGAATTAAAGAAGTTTAAGAAGTACATTTCAACATGGAACTTTGTAAGACCCAGTAGCAGTGAACTACTGACACCAGTTAAGCTGTTTCCAGCAACAGGAGTCAAAATTTGGAAGATTTCTCTGCCCTGCACTCTGATACTTATTCACAGGGAAATGGCAGTCACAACTGGAGAATGGCACCAGAAGTGAGCTAGCACACTGAGCATGTATGGGGGAGTGAGAACAAATTAGCGAGGTTTATATGTGTAAGTGATTTCTGTTGTGTTAATAAGAGAAACAACATTCAGTGTTTATACTTTAATGTGATGAATAGGATTATACCATAGCTTGAGAGACTCAGAAAACCAAAAATATAAACAGTGCTCAGTGATCACTAATCAGATGGAATCCTATGAAAGGATAGAGAATTGAGTATATATTTTCCTGGTCTGAGAAACTAAAATATGGGCCATCTTACTAAGGTGTGGAATTTGACAATGCATCCCAGATCCCCATGCCCAGTAGCTTTATATAAGTGTAGGTTAGATGAGTATGAAAGATTAGTCAGATGAGGATTGATCAACTGCCCTGGGTTTCCTAGGACTGGATATATGTCAGTGCTGAACGTGGACAAGTTCCAGGCAACCTAGATGTGTTTGTTCCCTAGTCTGATAGCACAGGACAATAGGAAAAGCACCACAGGATGTTAAATGAATCTTTCCTTTGGTGATGTTTACAGAAAGTTGCACACTAAATAGGCCAAATGACTAATCCCCTTCCCACCAATAACTTCCACTTCATAAAATTGAACAAGCAGACATTGTTCTAAATTATATCCTCCTTCAATATTTAACTATCATCTATATTGATTCCTTCCCTTCCTCACTGCCCTGCAGTTCCTCACTGGCACCTTAAGGAGGACCCAGAGAACCAGCCCAAATGTCTCAATACTCGGGGGACCTGTGCTGAATAAAAGTGGGTCCCTTTCAAACTATGCAGAGGTGCCAGCCACCTCTCAAGACCCCAGATTTTAGAATTTCTACGTGAGACTTACCCAGTCACTTGCTTCCATGTATTTTTAAGTTAAGTCAAGCTCAGATGGAGGGTTGAGCCTCTTTGAGAAGCTGAGCACCACTCAGATCACATTGTCTTTCACACACATGACTTACCTTTCCACCTTCCCATCTCCACAGTAAGGTCTTCCATGAATGTGGCTCAGAGGAGGTGAAGCTTCTCCAAATTCCCCTCCAGCTTCAGCTTGAACTTGGTACTTATACATCTGCCCGGGCATGACCTCCCTGCAGAAACCAATGGGTTTGTGACAATCACATCTGCAAAGTGGCATGCCCTGGGTCCTTTGTTGTTAGTTCCCACGAGTTTAAGGGAACTTTGATGGGAAACAAAATGTGAAACATGCAAAGTTTCTGAAACAAAGACCATGGCTCAATCCTATGAGCATCCGCATGTTTGGGTAGATACTCATTTCTATTGGCCCCATAAGTTCTACACTAGTAAATGTATTAGTACGTACTTGGTGAGTTAACACTTAAGGTAACAGTTTGTGAGGATCCAGGAGGATGGCATGTAGTGTTTTTAACCAAGGTAACATAAATCAACTGTTGGAAAACCAGTAATCTATATATTTAAAGTAACCAAACAAAGTGAAGCTTATAATTTCAGTGTGTGGGCTCAGTCAAGTCTCTTCTTGGATTTGTAGATCACAGTTTTCTTTAAAGAGAATTCTTGCCTTGAAAAGACTGGAAAAAGTATTTCACAGAAGAAGTAAGAACACAAGAATGCAACTCATCACTACGTGGAAGAGATAAAAATTCCCAGTTAAAGACATGTTAAATTCATCTTTATCTCCAAATACCAAGAAAGGAGTTGGTAGAGTTGACCTGAGAGATGAAAGGAACTTATCAGATTCCCTGGTCCTTGGTGTATTGATTAAGTGGAAGTGTTGACACATGACATTTATTTAGCAGGAAAAGGGCTGGTGAAGGAAGCTGCTACTTTCAAAGATAAATTCTGCCTCATCTTAATTTTTTCCAATGCTTATCCTGGTTGGAAAATTATCACCCAAGTAAAGACAGAATGCAAGTATCTAGGATGACATGACCTCAAGGAATTATTAGGACTGCCATGAGTGGCCAGTGTGAATCTCCTGCCAAGACTCTCTTTTCTTTAACCGACTCTTTAAAGCAATCACAGAGACACCACCCTGCAATCTGATGTAGCAACCAGCAAACAGGAAATGTCTTGGGATTTCCAAAATACCTTTGAAATCATCTCTATTGTCTTTTAGGTATTTTAATAGGAAAGCCACCTAAATATTAAAGTCTCTTAAATTTCCAAATTACTTTTCCATTTTGAGAAAGGAACCCTCTCCTGTGAGTGTCAGATGCTGTTTCTAAAGCAAACCCAATGTTCTCCCAATCAATGCTGGCAGTTGGTTTCCTTTTTGGGTGGTTTCTTCCTGTTCAACTATGTTTAAAAGTCTTACACAGCTCTGTGGCTGGGAAAGGGATCAGACAGAAATATTTTTGTGCCTTTACTCTTCTTATGGTGAAAACATAGCAGCAGGTACCTCAGGCCTCCCATGAGCGGAGTCTATGAAAGGCAGTGCTCTACTGAAGAAAGAAGATAGAATCATTTGGAAATGGTGTTTGAATCCTGGGAGTGCCATCTACAAGGTCAGCAACTGAGTGTAGGACAAGCCTTAGTTTTCTATCTGTATAACCTTAAACATTTACATTGGGATATCATTATATAATAAACATCATATCAACTGCCTGACTATAGATGCTTAATCATATTAAATTTTATTTCTAATACACCTCATGATCTACATTCTACTACATCTATTTTACTTTATTTTGGGTTTTTTTTAAGACAAGGATTCTCTGGCTTTGGAATCTGTCCTGGAACTAGCTCTTGTAGAACAGTCTGGTCTCGAACTCACAGAGATCTGCCTGCCTCAGCCTCCCGAGTGCTGTGATTAAAACTGTGCGCCACCACTGCCAGGCTGCATTTTTTAACCACAATTCAGTCCTCTGATGCTAAAAAGCAAGACAAGAACAATCATGGAAAGAAGAATGCATTGGAGCTGGAACTGGACATTTTGAGGTCTTACAACTAGGTTTTATAGCTGTGGTGGGTTACTAAATGTCTACCGCAGCCAGGATGCACACTTCTAAGGTTTGTGTGATGTCTATCTCTCTTTTTGGAGAAAGGTAGTTCATTATTGGAATAGGAAATTTTTCGTGTAACTTAGGGGAGCATTATCAAGAGTATTTTCCATAAGATACTTGAAAATTACAAGCAATGGAGAACTTGTCCTCCCTGAGTCAAGGAACAATCCTAGAAATAGTCATTCATCCACAAGAAGCAGCCCAGAATAGGGCTTGAAAGGGTCCTCACATTCTGAGTCACATCAGCTGTCTCAGCTGGGGCTCCAATATGTATATGATATCATCCTAGAATTAAGCAAGCAATCCAAAGGTCACCCAGCCCATGCATAAAATAATGAAATAAAGTTTGCTGTTGTAATTTGATCATGTCTAAGATGGCAAAAATCACCTAATAGAACCCCCCCTCATAAAACTTGATTATACACTGTTATGCACTACCTCTCCAGGCAGTCTCCAGGAAGACTATGAGGTGGGAAAATTTGTCTTTGACTATAGCAGTATCTAAGGCAGACATTTAACTCTTACTTCAGACTGTCTCTCCAACACTGAGCACACTGTGCCAGGAGCACAGTAGAACTCACTAAATGCAGACGGAAAGACATTTTTTAAAAAGTGAAAACTAGAAACAAAAGAAAGAAGAAAGGAAGAGGGAGAAAGAGAAGGTAGGAAAAATGAACATACGTGTGGATAAATCATGAAGCTGTGTTTAACATCTGAGAGACTTTTGACCTTTAGTGTAGCTATGGAAAAATTGGCTATAACTTGAAAATTGTGGAAGCCATACTAGATTATTGGAAAGTTACAAGAATGTATCTAAAATAAAATTGCCACAAGACAGAAAAATCTTATTCTGATCAACTTTAGCATCAATTCCACTCACTCAACTTAAAGACCTCATACACTAACTTGTCCATCAGCATAATGATGTCATTAGCAGTCAAAGCACTTGCTTTCCCTTTTCTGTGAAATATTTTCCCTTTAAATGCATATCGGAATACTAAAAAGTAGAAGCAGTGATAACTATATTGAAACAAAGTCCCTAGAAGTCCCAAGGTTTGTAAGATTCTGCTGCCCAACTTACATGTCTGTGAACTTCCTGTGCGGGTGTGTCACCACCATGGGTAAGCCACTGGAAAAGGGAGGCTCTCGGAGTACTTGATAACTCACAGGCCTGCATCCAGAACACAAGGAACTATGGGGTTGAGAAGTCAGGAGAGCAGCATCAATTTCCATTCGTTCATCAAGGGTGTAGACTTTCACTCCCAAGACCTTCCCATCCACGTGGAGTTTGATAGTGAGTGGTGTGTCACAAAAAGTGTTAAAGGGACCAAGGTGTACAGATTCCTTGAATTCTAGCAAGATCTCTATGTCAAAGAGTGCCTGGGAGGAGTTCGTGGAGAGGTAAGTCACCCAGAGTGTGAGGGTATCAGCTTGGACTGGGTGTTGGAAAAGCAGCTCCAAGCTACAACCTTCTGCTGGGCAGGGCACAGTCATATTCATGTGGTACAGATGAAGTTCAGGACTCCAAGCCTGCAAGCTAGGCTCACAGGGCTGATCCACATCAGGGGGTCCTGGGGAGATGAGAGAAAAGATGCATCAGGAACAAACATTAAAAGAATGAGAAAGAACAGCTTATTTCAGCAGAGGATGAAAGAGGTTTCAGAATTCTTACAGAAAGCTCATCATTTTGTGTATTATCTCTTTTGGGTGGGTGTTTTTTGGTTTTGGGTTTTTGTTTGTTTTTTGGAGGGGTTGTTTTGTTTTGTTTTTCAAGACAGGGTTTCTCTGAGGCTTAGAAGGTTATCCTGGAACTAGTTCTTGTAGACCTGTTTGGTCTGGAACTCTCAGAGATCCACTTGCTTCTGTCTCCTGGCAGTGCTGGGATTAAAACTGTGCACTGTAACCACCGGCTGTGGATTATCTCTTATGTGCCCTCTTTTGAAAAGATTCATACATGAGCAGTCCCGTCAATCATCTCCATCCAGCTTTCTCCTTAAGGCTCAGTCACTTGAATAACTATAAGCCCAAGTTTGGAGACTCATATATTACCATCATTCTGTTTTTCTTGTTACAATCAGGACTGAAAAGTAATTCAAATAGACCACACCTTTTTCAGTAGACTTGTGGATCTTAATATCTACAAAGTGTGTATGTGTGTGGGGTAGGTAATTCAGAAGATGATGATTAGGCTGGTGAAGAGCCAAAACAATGGCACACTCCTTTAATCCGGTAACTTGAGAGACAGAGGCAGGTGAATCTCTGAGGTCAAGGTCATCCTAGACTGTAGAACTATTTCCAGGACAACCAGGGATACATACAGAAGCCCTGTCTTGGAAAAAATAACAAAAACAGCAAACAACAACAAAAAATCCCAATCAGCCTCCCAACCAACCAAACAAAAGCTGGGGAAGGCAGAAGTCAAGCCCTTTCTTCAGCAGGGCTAGAAGCCATGTCCATGTCCACAGCATTTACTGCACTGAAAAGACTGCTGTTGGAATCTGTGTTCTAGATCCTGATGTACATATGTGAGTGAGTATGTGACTGTTAGAGAATTTAGGGGAGGGACAGGAAATGAAATAATGAAAAACATCTTCCCCCTCCTAGAGCCTAGCTTAGATCACATTCAAAGCACAACCAGTACCAGTGATTAATAGACTCATAAAATACTGTGGATGAGAACAGTCCGTGTGGAACACCTAGTCCACCCTCCCCCCACCCAGGCTTGCTCAGCCAGCACATGAGTGTGCTCTGCAATGTGTTCTCTATTACTCTGCGATACAGAGGAGTAAGCACTTCGCTTACACCATCATGCACCGAAGCTGCTTCAGGGACAAGTAGACATATGCAATGTCTCTGGCCTTAGTTCACCCTGAGGTTACCCTTGAGAAGGGTCTGACTTCTCAATTCCTCTTTGTGAAATCTTTAAGACTTTCCCATTATACCAATACAGGACACTCAGTATGCAGAAGCAGCAGCAGTATTTCCAAGACCCTGGAAATATTCAGCAAATCCCCCCTCACCCACGTGCAAAAACACACAAACATATACCACTGCTTCATCCATTACTCATGCTCAGTGGCCACTAAAATAATCAGTCAAAAATTCATGGTACTTTACCCACAGCCTCCTCGGGAGTCCAGTAACCTGAAGAGTCACACACCCGCCCAGAGGAAGCCTTGTATCCATATTGATGGAATGTCCCATCTTCAGTACAGGCATCACACATACTGCCAGGGGTCCTGGGAAGAGGAAGCATAAAGAAGGGAGTGTTCTTATGTTGAATTAGGGAAAAGAAACCAAGAAGACTCTAGAGAAGAAGGATGTCACTGGAGAATCAGGCCCAGGAGGGTAAGTGGGCACATTTATCATTACAACTCATGTCCTCCTTCTGAAGTCCTCATCTTTGCAAAATTCACAAGGCATGAGAAACCTCAAGGTCAGGAAAGAGAAAATTTTAACAAAGTCATGAAGAAGTCAGTGAGGACCAAGAATCCTAGAATCACTAAACAGAAGCAAGTATATTTTCCTGAACCAACATAAAACCCCTCACCCCTATGTGTAGTAAATAAGTGTCAGAAAGGCACAGGATACACACACTAGAGTGAAGTCACTATCAATGTGTGGTCTGACTCTTTTAATCCCCTACTTTTACTTACATACATAAAATAGAGTGTGGAGGGTAACAGCCCTTGATTCTCCATTGTCAGTAACAACGAATCATACTTTCTTATCAGCACTGGGTGATATCACAGGCTAGCTCCAGCCTTATATCCTATAATTAGTTCCTACATAAACTTTATATTTCTAGCACAAGTTCCACCACACCATGGTGCAAATCCTTGACACTCCTTCACATCACTCCACAAAATGCACGTTCTCCTAGCAATCCCATCGGCTTTGCCAGCATCCTCGCTTAGCAACTCTTTACTTACTTAGATGTGGCCTTCGCAGGGGTGCTTAGCCTTCCTCCTCTCAGAGTCTGACCCCTGCTTCTCTGTACACACTCCTACAGTTGACCCCTTTCTCAGGACACTGCTGTGTCATGCTGCAAATGTACAGCCATCCTCTTTTGACTCCTGGGCCTGATTGTGCATCTGGATCTGCTCAGTTCTCATTGTGTCCGTAAGAATTAGCACACGACTGGCTTCAACAGTTCCTCTGTATGTGTCTGCTCTGTAGATGTCTGTGAGATGATTCAGTGTATGGAGAAGTTTCTACAAGCACCACATTTGGAGTAAACAGAGTATGTAGAAATAACTACACTGAATAACAGAGGCCAACAACTGCTCTGATAGTTGTCTCTTTCTCATACTTGGAGTGTTTCTAGAACTGGGTTGTGAACAACTTATCTGAAAAGCTAGTTTAAATCAAAGTCTCACACCAACGGAGCACAGGAGTAGCAGATTAGTATCTTACAATACACTAGTAAAACCATATTATTACACAATAACAATAATAATGACATTAAGCATCTCACACAACGTGGTCCTGTGTTTTTCACAACTTCTTTCAAATCCTTGCCATGACAGCATGCTTACAAATGAGAAAACTTGGGGCTCAGAAAGCTTTAAGTCAGTTGCTCAAAGTCACAACTTCCTTAATTTCTTTGGGCACATTCCCAAATATCACCTAGTGTTCAGTATTTTGGCAACTAACGGGTGTAGTTAAGATCTATCCTTTGATTCCATCAGTGCTTTGTCTAATGTGGACACAATTCCAAACCACATTTCCCTGATGCACTTGCCCTTCCGGGGCTGCTTCAGAGTGCGTAGCTGAGGCTCCTCTCTGACATAAGGATTCCAAATACCTACAAGAGTGGAGTAAACATAACTCTAGGCATGACACAAATTGCTGGGCATGTGACGTGAGTGTCTCCAACACACGTGCTAGGAGGCCTCAAAGCCAGCCCACCTAGTTGGGAAAAGAAAGCAAATTGCAATCTTTTCTGCCAACAGACTCTCAGCAAGCCAGTTCTGATGTCTGCTTTATCGTAACATTTGTACCAGAGAGAGAATTGAAAGATTAAATTGTTTACACGTGTTACATAAACTGATGTAAAACTTGGGTTTGCATGTACCCACACAGGACAGTCCAGCCAGAGCTACACAAGGTCACACTTGCAGGAAGATGATTCTTACACACATTGCATAGATGTGCACTAAATCACCAAAGGAGCTCTTGGGAACCTGGGTGCTGATAACAATGCAAGCAATTTTGTGGTGCTGTGAGTGCTAAGTGGCGTCATGACTAAGTGTGTGTCAAGAAATGAAGATTCCGAGGTTCGTGAGTATCACTTTGAAAACTAATACACTGGTTTTACTGTGTCTTCATCTCTCCTTACCTGCTCCCAACCCCAGGCTTTCATTAAATCCAAAGAGTGTGAAGACATGTTCCAGGGCAATTTTGCCCTTAGCTGGACACAAATACCCACAGGTAAATGTTGTACAAAAAGAGTCACTGTCCTATGGCCCTATACCCAGGAGTATGCAGACAGCACAAACTGGCCCTAATGGGCTATTTTAAAAAATAGTAAAGGCCACAAATTTGGGGTTATGGAAAGGGGAGGGTGGACCTTGGAGGAGTCAGAGGGAGGAGTTGGGGTGAATATGGTCAAATTTAATCATATGAAATTCTCAAAGAATTAGTAAAATATTATATTGAGAAAAATAAACAGGAAAGAAAGCTCAAAATTCAAAGCATCCATTTCTTCTAATCTATTCTGTGTTCCTTGTTACTAAATTACCTCGCCATCAGCTATGTGGGGTCTTGAGCCAGCCCTGTGTGATTCTCACTCACAGGGAGGTATGGTGCTCACCAAGAGGGCAACATGAAAAGGTAAAGCCAGATGTCTCACAGTGTCTCCCACATAACAGGACAGAAAAGAAAGACAGTTCCTATTAGTCAGCTTTTGGGCAGAAGATTCCAGAGAGTTAAATCTGCATGGGTCTGTCACAGGACCCTTTTGTCAAACCATATCCTCTATTGCCACATCAGATCTCTCTCTCTCTCTCTCTCTCTCTCTCTCTCTCTCTCTCTCTCTCTCTCTCTCTCTCTCTCAACTTTTTATAAAGATTTCCCTGAGATTCAGTTCTATAAGTAAACAAAGGAAGAATGACAGCTGGCCTTGGGTACTGTGACTTACTTCAGTGAATATGGATTAACTGTCTACAATGGTAGTCTCAGAGACAAAAACAAAAACAAAAAATAAAACAAAACAAAAAAACAAACACTAGTTTCCAGCAGCCAGTGGAGGGGACAAATAAGAACAGAGTGTAACAATTCCAGATAGTGGCCATCAGGCCAAGCACAGAGTTCAGCTGGAGACAGAGACTGTATTAGAAATGCTGAGATTGCATACTCTCACACTTTCACTTTTTACCCTAGAACTGACTAAAGGAACATGGTCTGCTTTCCTTTCCCCAGTCACCACTGTCCAAGGAGCAAGCCTTACCCTGCAGAGGAACAGCTGGCTAAGACCAATGGGTCATGCTTTGTCAGTTCTGGCAGGCCATCCTTGTGTAGAACAAGCACACAAGAACCCCTGACTCCAATGAGACACCTTTAGCCTTACTAAGGAGCTGAGCCCTAAGTAGACTCAGGATGTGACCCCAAGCAGCCATGAACACGTTTCTATCACAATGCGGGTTCTCTTCATTTTATATTCTTTCCCTCTTTTAAAATGTTTCAAAGACAGTGGAGTTCCACCACTCTCACCTGTCATACACAACTCCACTAATAGGAGGCAGCCAGTGGATGGTGAGGGACTTTTGGGTTTGCCCAATAACCATGGGTGGGATGGGAATGGGGGTGGGCTTTCTGCTTTCACTCCATTGCTGGTATACGAGGTCCAAATAGCAATGCATCCGGGCCACTTGGTTAGGTGTGAAACTGTCAGTGCACTCATCATCTGTAGAGACAAAAAAAACAGTTGTGAAGGTTGAACCTGTATCAGTGCCTAAAGGCAGGCAAGAATCTGCATTCCCACTACTCCTAGCACCCTACATCTCCCGTTTATTAGACTCAGAAAACATTAAACTCAGTAAAAAAAAAAATCCTGACATGTGGTGGAAAAGCACAAACATAGAAAACTTGCTTCACCCAGAAGCAATCTCATTATTCTCAGCATGTCCTTGAATTAGACTCTGGTCACAAAGTCACAGAATTGTCCTAAGACAATGGTTCTCAACTTTCCTAATGCTGTAACCCTTTTATATAGTTCCTTGAGTTGTGGTGACCACCACCCCCAACCATAATTTTTATTACTACTCTATAATTGTAATTTTACTATTGTCATGAATCATCATGTAAATATATGTAAATATATGATATGCAGGATATCTGATATGTGACCACCCCACAGGTTGAGAACCACTGTCCCAAACTGATGGTTGCATACTTATCATACCACAAGATGGCAGTGTTTCAGCAGAGGGTTTCTTCACCTGTATTCGGAATTACCTACATCTGCTGCTATAGACCCTGTGACCATGCCCAAGAAGAGTGAGTATTCACTGGAGATGCTCAATGCAGAGGAAACTGACATGTCAAGGAAATTTCAGGGATGGGAATGATGGCCTCAATCTTTCATTCAGAGGCAGTAAAACCACTGTGTTCATTACACAGGTTGTACATGAATGACCTTCATTTCAAGGGCTTTTCTATTTAGAGTAGACCAAAACCCACCACATCTGCTTTTCAACATTGTCTCTGCCACACTTAAAGGTGGTACTTAAGGAACTTCTGCTCCTAGACTCTGCATCTCCAAGGCCACAAATCCTGGTTAAGGGAGACAGAGATGTTGATGCTTATGAATTCAATTCATTGTTCACTACATTTAAATTTGGAGGGAAACACCTTAAGAAGTCACATGCAGAACCAGTTAGATCATTCTTTTTTCTTACCTTCAAAGTCATGAGCAAGGTATGGTAGTTTGCCTTTTATTAAAACAGGAAACTAAAAATTAACCATCCTTCACCTTTGGAGTAGGTGATCAAATCAAATTAGTTGTCAATTTTTGCTATAATTATGCCCATAATTAAAAGGAAATGTCCTGTTACTTTTGCCATAAAAAACGTCTGATACACCAGTAAGTTTTCTGATCCAGGAGATGTTCCAAAAGAGGACAAGGCCACACAATACAGTTTTCCACAGGGCCAACAAAGTACCATTTAAAAAAATTAAATAGTATCATTTTGGGCACGATACATGAAATAGTTAAGCTAGGAATCAATGTTGAGCTGTAAGAAGGGAATCTGATTTTTTACATAGTTAAGATAAAAGATTTATAGTTCTTAAATTAATCAAGTCAGTTTGTTAACTCTCTGTAAAAGACCTGTCACTTATCACTGTCTTCAGGTTAAATGCCTCAATGAGAATCTTCATGTTGTAAAACCTGAAGAGATCTCAAGAGGATTTTTTTCCTTTGTCCCATTTTAACTATTCACAATACAAATGTGCTTCACTTTCAAGCTCTGATGGAAGACAATGCAATCAAGATCCTGTAATATCTCCACATTTTGTCAACTACTTCAAACACATGGAAAATAAAGGCATATCCAACACAAAATATACTCCTACTCTGTGACATGAATCTCCCTGGCTCCCTTTAACTACATAAACTCTACCAATCCCCAAAGATGCTTAAGCAACCTTAAGACAAAACAAAAGCACTGAGTTTGTGGTGATACCTGTGTAGCTCATGTAGTTATTGAATGGAGCCCCTGAGAAGTGGGTAAAACCACAGGTGTCGTTAGCTGGTTCTGGGTCCCGACACAGCTTACTCTTGGGTGTAGGAGCAGTGTCAGCACACAGGTCTCCTGTCTCCATGGACGGCACTGTCTCTCTACAGGGGTCATCACAGGATTCTCTTTCACTGACTCCTTTGAAAACATGGTAGAGTCCCAGGACATGCCCCACCTCATGGATCATGGTATTGGTATGACCAGGCATGCCATAATAAGCTGGGTTGAGGACAACACCACCTGTAATGGAAGGTTTGGAAAACACCTTTGAGAAAGAGATGAACATCAGTCTTCCCTAGTCATTCTTTGACAAAAATCCCAAATAGTTCATCTCAGCCTCTAAAAATATAACTAACTTGGTGGTATCTAATAATACACTTCCCTCTTTATACAGACACCCACAGAACTAATCAGTAAACATTCCTCTAACATCTCTCCTGCATCATTACAGACCTAGTGATCATCAGGCTCTATGAGAGGGACAAGAGCTTAAGCTCTAGACATACATTAAATCCACCATGAAAAGTGAAAAATGAAGTTATAAATGCTAACATCAACAAATATGTATAAATATATTTGAGTAGAGTAGAGATGACACATCAGTATTTTAAAAGCTGGAGTAGAGAGCCATTACTATCCACAGAAGCACATGAAGTTGGGATCCAGAGAAAGGCAGCCAGAGAGGTACCTAGTTCTTCTACATTCCAGCTGTCAACAGCCATCTGGTCTCCTAGAACTCAGCTTCACACCCTATAAAGCAGAGATGATAACACTAGTATCTGTGTATTTTAGGAGTATTTGGGATCTGTGGCTACAGCTCAGTCAGTAAATGTTTAGTTTGTAAGTATGAGGGCTAAGGTTTGGATCTTTATCACTCATGAGAGAAAAGTAGATTGGTGCAGCAGCACAATCTGAGGGAAATCCTTGAGGCTTGTTTGCCAACTAGTCTAGCAGAAGAGGTGAGTTTCAGGTTAAATAAGATAATCTGTCTCAAAACTTTAGGAACAAATGATTGAGGAAGACACTGACATCAGTCTCTTGCTCCCACACATGAATGTGGACACATACACAATAAATAAAACTAAAAGTGTTTGACATACTTTAGCTGTTTAAAAATTAGTTAAAAGAATTACTTGTACACAACTGTCCATGGAGAACAACTGACCATGAAGTGCTCAGCCCCATGTGATACATCTATATATAACAATACCTAAGGCTCAGGGAACATCTTGGAAGAGAGAATAGAAAAACTGAAAGAGCCAAAGGATCTGAACATCTGCTGCAATATTATGATTTCTATATAGGCCAGGGAAGCCGTACCCAAGAAATCTCAGCAGCATGGTTGTCTAAACAAAACCTGCAAAATTATAACACCAGTTGACATGCCAACACAGGTGGGGGAAATTCCATGAAGCTTCACCCCAGATGGAAAGGAATGGGCAATGAATAACTTCTCAGAGAGTGAGAATGAATCTTCCCCAGGGATGAGTCTTCTAATTGGTTATTCAATGCTAACTATTCAGTCCTGATAAGATTTAACAATAAATGAAGCCAGATGGTTGTATTTGTATTTTATATGTATGTTTGTATATATATAATAAGAATAATTAAAGCCAAAAGAGAGGGTGAGAGATAAAAAGTAAATGTGGGAAGAGTTCAGGGGAGGAGTGTGGTGGGGAATAAATATGATAAAATACAATATATGAGATTCTCAAAGAGTTATTAAAATACTAAATAATTTTGAAGAATTTTGCTTCTGAGTTCACTTTTCCTACTTCCAAGAAGCTAGCAATATGTCTCACTCACCCTAACCCGTTTCTACAGGATACCAAGGCAGGTGTTTCAGAGAACAGGAAATCACACAGAAATGGGTTTAGATGAGAAAACTGCTGAATGATCTAACTTCTACCTGCCCTCCTTATTAAGACTCACTCCCTGCTTCCTTCCTTTTACCATCACTGAAGCATTTGACTTTGCTTCATTCTTCAGCCTCAAAATTTTCAGACAAGATTAAGTGTAATCTCCAGTGCCTGAGAAAGAGAATAAGGGGAGACCTGGGTCAGCCTTTCAAAAGTGAGAGTCATCTACTGCTATAGTCTCAAACTAGTTCTGGTATCATGTCTTAGTGTAATCTCAAGACTTGCTTTGTCCCCAAAAATGAAGTGTTCCCTATACTGATGGTCTCCTAGGGATGGCCAGTGATCTAGAAATGAAGCCGTATTGCTTTGGCCATGTTCAGTAAAGGGTAAGTATTAGAATGATGCTTTCACACTGCCAACATACTCACCACCACATTAGCCTAGAGAAGACCCATAAGGTGAAGGAAAGAAGATAAAAGATAATTGTTGGGAATGTGTAGATGGTGATCGGTCCAATAAAGTTGGTCACCCCATCTTTCAAGTATCAAGATTTAAGACAGGTTTATGTAATCTGATAGCAGATAGATTTTGCCTCTTCTAGAGGTGAATTTCTGAGTGTCAGTTCTAAAGAAGAGTGGCTGGATAGAAAGAAAGTGAGGCTAAATGGGCAAGGGGTAACACAAAGAGACAAAGTGAAGTCACTCAAGTGACTCCATGAGTGGGACACTGTGATAAGAATTATGGTTACCTTGGGTGGTCAGCATCACTTGGTGACTAAGGACCAAACAGACCATGTGCCCTCTGCAATTAGGATGTATGAAGCATCACATTGGCTAGATAAAGCCCCAAATGCAGTGAGGCTAAACTGATTAAATTTCTTGTATTCATTAACATGGGTGTTAAACAGAATTTAAGGCCAATCATGAAATACATTTATATTTTCTGCATGTTTGCATGTGTACATTGAGAACTGAACTCAATACAGGCAAGGCTGGGATCAAACTTCAAAATATGGCACAGAATGAATGGAACTCTGATTTAGCAACTGGTGACCATGTGTGGCACAGCTGTTCCTTTATGGACTTGCAGGGGCAATACAGATGTGCCTACTTAGAAGGCCTTTCAGCTTTGATTATGAGGAACAAGCTAAAACAATAAGGCAGAGCTGTTGTGTGGTCCTGGGTATGTTGCCGAGGAAGAAAAGAGAGAGAGGAGTTGCTGATGAAAAGAGAAATCTCAGCTGTGGAAAGTCAAGCTTCCAGTGTGGTGTTATGTTCCCAAGTTCTCACTGGTTTTCCCCAGACCCAACACTAGACCGCCAAAGTAGCTCATGGTAAAAAAGAAAATAATTCCCAAGGCCTTTTATTTACCTGTGTGCCCTTTCAGCTACACGTGTCCCCAGTTGTCATGCACTGGGGGATCTCAAGTTCTTCTGAATCATCAGAGAAAAGTAATAATGACTTCAGACTGCAGATGTTGTTAGAAAGGGACTTGGTAGGTAACAAGCATCCTCTTACAATTCACGAAGCATGTACTGGGCATCATTTCTCTGTCTAGCCTGTTTAGTCTGCATACTGTTACTTATGCACAGTGTATGTTTTCAGAGCTGGTCATTTGACACCAAATGACCAGTTGTTAAGCTCTTCCCTGGGGAAGAGAACTTCTTCCGCTCCCAACTTTCCTTAGTTGCTACAGTTCTTTGTGTAGGGTTAAGGCCTCCTAAGCTTTTACCCATCCACTTTGGCATGTCCACTGGTGTCATCCTTGTTCAGCTCACATTTGGGCAGTCATGTTGGTAGGACTTTATAGGAAAATATTCTCTGCACTCCAAGGTAAAGAGAAACAAGTAATACAACTGACACTTTAACATATTAAATTATGGTAATATTTACTACCCATCCACATGCATATGCACTGATCTTGATGTGTGGAACCACACTTATCTCATTGAAATATAATTGTCTCTGTATTTTTGTTCACTAATGGTTAAGCAATGTAAACTTTGTCGAAATGTAGAAAAGTAATCCTTTGAAATGGCAATTATACTGGAAAGAAATTCCCACTACTTCATAATTTAAGTAAGTTACCAGTGCTGTATTAGTTGCTACTAGTTGAATTTATGGATTAAATTTTTTCATGTTACTGTACAAACACGTGAAGAAGCATGGAGGTTTTTGTAAATCTTTGTGGGAGCACAAAAGGAAAAGATAAGTTTGGGGAGTACTGATGGAGTTGTGTGGAGTTCATTCCACTTCTAAGCATGGCCAGGCTTTGCCAGCTGTAAATCAAGGCATCTCTCAGATTTTTCACTCAGGAGTTTTCTCTGCCACGTGAATTCCAGACTTATCTGTCCTTCAGTGCTCACTTCAAATGTCAGCTGTCTAGGAATACCACCCGTGATGCTTTCAGAAGAGTTTTGCAGTTTCTCTCAATGGGCCTGTCTAGCCCTTTGTTGCTCTACGATACAACAGCAAAAGCATGCGTTTCATATCTGTCTCCCACTAGTGCTGTGCACTGTTCTGTCCTTGCATTCTTCTATTTCTGTATTGCCACAAAATGGCTTCACCACTTGTTCTTTGAATGAATGTTTGCATGCACATGAATGAATGAAGGTTGTGATTATGATATAAGTGACTTACAGAAGTGCTAACTTTGTTTAGTCAAATATTCTGTCTTTGAATCCATAAATTAAAAAAATTTCTTACCCCATTATCATAAAATTAGAAAGACAAAATCATACCAGACAATAGAAATGGTGTTGATGGCAAAGCAGGATGAATCATGGGGTTTCCACAGAGTGGGAGTCATTGGTGATCAGAAACTACTTTTGGTTTTCTAACTTTAAGGCTGGTGTGCTTATGTGCAGGTCACTCAGATAACCTTAAGCATGGTGAGCTGCTGCACACTGATACAAACATAATCCTACCTAGACTCTTGGGAGGGCTGTTCAGAAAATCCTCAATGGTTTCCTCTGCCATGTCATGTCAACAGTCTGCACTGGTATTCTCTTTTTAAATCACAATTATGATTGAGTAGGAAACAACAAATATATACACAAGCAATTTCACACTTAATCAGAGCTGTGAGTTGGTCAGCCCATCTCCTGAAATGCACATTAAGAACCACATAGCAGGAGAGCACTCTCAATCCTTCAAGTTTTAAGAACAAAATGTAAATATCCATAGCTGTTTTTGCAACTAATTGTGAGTCAAAATTTCAGAAGATAAATTATAAATATTTCTTGAGTCATTGCATTGAAATGTAATTCCACCACCAGCTTACTTACATGTCCCTCTGTCTGTAAGAATTCACAGCACTCCTACTCTATCTATAGTTTCCTCCTTATGTATAGGTGTTACAGACCAATTCTTACACCTGTGT